TCTACGTCTACGTCTACGTCTACGTCTACGTCTACGTCTACGTCTACGCCTACGTCTACGTCTACGTCTACGTCTACGTCTACGTCTACGTCTACGTCTACGTCTGCGCCTGCGCCTGCGCCTGCTCCTGCGCCTGCGACTGCGCCTGCGCCTGCACCTGCACCTGCACCTGCACCTGCACCTACACCTACACCTACACCTACACCTACACCTACACCTACACCTACACCTACACCTACACCTACACCTACACCTACACCTACCCACACCCACACCCACACCCACACCCACACCCACACACACACACACACACACACATACACATACATATACATATACACATACACATACACTTTCGCGTTCGCGTTCGCGTTCGCGTTCGCGTTCGCGTTCACGTTCACGTTCACGTTCACGTTCACGTTCACGTTCACATTCACATTCACATTCACATTCACATTCACATTCACATTCACATTTACATTTACATTTACATTTACATTTACATTTACATTTACATTTACATTTACATTTACATTTACATTCACATTCACATTCACATTCACATTCACATTCACATTCACATTCACATTCACATTCACATTCACATTCACATTCACATTCACATTCACATTCACATTCACATTCACATTCACATTCACATTCACATTCACATTCACATTCACATTCACATTCACATTCACATTCACATTCACATTCATAATCACAATCATAATCATAATCACAATCACGAGTGAAATTCTCTTTATATGAGCTCTATTACGAAAAAAATTTCCTCCGACAACCCCCCCCCCCCTTGAAATTTTGTGAGGTGGTAGAAGAACGCCTAGAGATGTCACAAAAATCTCGGCATATCTGAGAAAACTTCGTAAAGGGGTCAAAATTGACCAGTTGTATTTCCCTATATAATCTTTGTATTTTATGGGAAAAACAGAGGGTCATTTCAACGCGGATTTTAGGGTACTTAAACTCAGTATAGCTGGCTAATTTTGTGCATGCTCCTAGGTAAATGGCTTGGCCTTTAGGGAAATCTGTCGGTTTGACTCAAAGCCCTCGACGAAGGCTAAAACATGACTGCGAGTGAAATTCTCTTTATATGAGCTCTATTACGAAAAAAAAATTTCCTCCGACGACCCCCCTTGATATTTTGTGAGGTGGTAGGGGAACACCTAGGGGTGTCAGAAAAAACTCGCCATTTCCGCGAAAAATCTGGAAATGGGTCAAAACTGACCAGTCGTAATTCCCTATATAATCTTTGTATTTTATGGGAAAAAACAGGGTAATTTCAACATAAATTTTAGGATACTCTATTTATCTGGCCATTTTTTGCATCACCTCTTAGATGACTAGGCCGTATGGAAAACTGTTGGTCATACTCAAAGCACTCGACGAGGGCTAAAAAGTGACCGCGAGTGAAATTCTCATTACATAAGATATCTATAAATAAATTTACTAAAGATCTCCCTAATAATTTGTGAGGTCGTAGACCGACCCCGGAGGATAACAAAAAACATTATTCCCGTAGGGTCGTTAGATTTGTTCGCGTTCGCGTTCGCGTTCGCGTTCGCGTTCACGTTCACGTTCACGTTCACGTTCACATTCACATTCACATTCACATTTACATTTACATTTACATTCACATTCACATTCACATTCACATTCACATTCACATTCACATTCACATTCACATTCATAATCATAATCATAATCATAATCACATCAACATCCACACCCATACCCACGTCCATATATACGTCTACCACTACGTCTACGTCTACATCTATAAGCGCTTGGTTATGAAAGTGGTGCTGCAGAAAAAAGCCTGTGCGTATGTGGACGTATGTTGATTGCTTTATGTGTGTCAATGCGTGTGTGTACATAGTCTCCCTATGTCTCTGGACGTGAGTATTACAAAAATTTAAAATGCTAACCACCATCAGCACACCTTGTTGATCTCCGCCGAAATGTACCCCGCAGGGTTCGTGTAGCTGTAGTACTTAGCCAGTCCGTAAATGTAACAGCCAAAATAGACGGTTTTCACTCCGTACAGATTGTGTGAGCCTTGGGTGATGTTCCTGTTGACCACGACGTAATCAGCGCCGTGGACAGGGGTGATGGTCGTCCTGAAAGTTGATAAGGTGTGGTTTTTTTATTGTGTCTGTGTGTGTACGTGTGTGTGTGCGTGTGTGTGAGTGTGGGGAGGGCAATATTTTTTTTTGTGAGCCGTGCAGCAGTGCAGCAGGCAGTGTGGTTGGAGTTTAAAGTGCTTCCGTATGTGTGTGTGCGTATGTGGATCTGTGTGTTCGTGTGTCTGTGTGTGCGTGCGTGTGTCTGTGTGTGATAGCGTGTGTCTATGTATGTATGTGCGCGCGTGTGCGTGTGTGTGTGCGTGTGAGTGTTTCTAAATAACAATGCATAATACCTTCATCTATAGGTTATTATATAAAGCGACGTGTGTTATCTCTCGGAAAACTTACACAATAGTACACAAATGTATAATGAGTAATTCGTAATACATAATGCCAAATACATAATTAATGCGCATTTTAAAAGGTGATGGATTCAGACATCAGCATAAAGTGTATAGCAAGTACAACAGCGATTGAAAACACACGCGCAATGAACTATACTTTCATTTAATATTATCAGGTAAAGTAGGATTGGATTTAAAAAAATACACTCACTCATTTAACTCGTGGTGATCCAACCTTAAAAATTGTAATTCTGCAGCTTTTACAACAGCAACAAAGAAATTGTGGGGTGTCGTTATTCTTGAAAAGGGTGTGCTACACATTATACAAGAGTGCGATAATTATATATATATATATATATATATATATATATATATATATATATATATATATATATTTATATTTATATATATAACTTTATTTACCTACCCACTAATCCACATCACTAACCGACTACTCCAGTTCACGGATCCAATAGCTTTACCTTACTGATTCACCTCCCCCCTCACTGATCCACCTCTCTAACTCACAGGCCCACCTCTCTACCTCACTGATCTACCTCCTCTCCACCTCACCGACCCACCTCTCTACCTCACAGACCCATCTCACTGACCTTCATCTTCACCTCACCGACCCACCTCTCTACCTCACTGACCCACCTCTCTACCTCACTGACCCACCTCACTGACCTACCTCTCCACCTCACCGACCCACCTCTTTACCTCACTGACCCACCTCACTGACCCACCTCACAGACCCACCTCTCTACCTCACTGACCCACCTCTCTACCTCACAGACCCACCTCTCTACCTCACTGACCCACCTCTCCACCTCACAGACCCACCTCACTAACCCACCTCACTGACCCACCTCTCTACCTCACTGACCCACCTTACTGACCTACCTCTCTACCTCACAGACCCACCTCTCTACCTCACTGACCCACCTCACTGACCTACCTCTCTACCTCACAGACCCACCTCTCTACCTCACTGACCCACCTTACTGACCTACCTCTCTACCTCACAGACCCACCTCTCTACCTCACTGACCCACCTCACTGACCTACCTCTCTACCTCACAGACCCACCTCTCTACCTCACTGACCCACCTCACTGACCCACCCCTCCACCTCACTGACCTACCTCTCTACCTCACTGACCCACCTCACAGACCCACCTCTCCACCTCACAGACCCACCTCATTGACCCACCTCTCCACCTCACTGACCTACCTCTCTACCTCACTGACCCACCTCACTAACCCACCTCACTGACCCACCTTACTGACCCACCTCTCTACCTCACTGACCCACCTTACTGACCCACCTCTCCACCTCACAGGCCCACCTCATTGACCCACCTCTCCACCTCACTGACCCACCTCTCCACCTCACTGACCCACCTCACAGACCCATCTCTCTACCTCACTGACCCACCTCACTAACCCACCTCATTGACCCACCTTACTGACCCACCTCTCTACCTCACTGACCCACCTCACTGACCCACCTCTCTACCTCACTGACCCACCTCACAGACCCACCTCACTGATCCTCACACCTCACAGACCCACCTCACTGATCCTCACACCTCCAACACCTCTCCTACTCACCTCCATATATATCCGTCATAAAACAAATTGGTAGCAACCAGAATACTTAAGGAGCCGTCCCCCTCAGGTTCTGTTGTGTGTTGTATTATATCGCGATACACGCAAGGGCTCGATTGATAGTAGAAAGCCTGGATGGGCTTATCGCTTCTGAAGGCTCGTGCATCTTGAAAGGGGAGCTGACGACGAGGTAGACTATGTTATGTAGGTGTTGGTGTCGTAGGCAGAGATAGTGGTGTAAGCAGTAGAAGGGTTAGAACTACAACCCTCCATATCCTAGAACTCGTCTCGCACCATACCCACCATTTTGCACCCCCCCCCCTCCCCCCCACAAACATCACACAAGACATCACACAATACATGGAGTACAATGGAATGTAGTGGAATAGAGTCGAGCGAAGAAGGGGGGGGGGGGGGGGAATATGGGGGAAATGTCATAGACTGCAGTAGAATTTAATAGAATGTAGTAGAACATAGTTCTATTTAGTCAAATTGATTAAAATTTGAGTAGAATGCAATTGAATAAAGTAGATCAAAGTCGTAGCGACCCTTCCCGGTGCCCGGGGACAAACTTTTGATTTGCACCCCCCCCCCCCTTAAACTTTCGATTTACCCCCCCCCCCCCCCTCAAGATTTCGATTTGCACCCCCTCTCCCCTCAAACTTTCGATTTGCATCCCCCTCAACCTTTCAATTTATTTTTCCAACCCATTTTGGCGCCCTCTAAGGTTGGCGCCCAAGGGCCATGAGTCCCCCCCCCGCTACGCCTCTGAAGTAGATAGTAAAATAAAGTAGATGGTATAAAAAAGTATAGTATAATACAGTAAAAGTAAAGTTCCCTTTCCAAAGCTGACAGTCTCTGGGGCAAGTAAAGTAGATTTCGCTGGTGTCTGTGACCTCGACATATGAAGGGATAGTGTGGTCAGCACTATGCCCAGTCGCCTATACTAACGTGAGTCAGCAGTCAAGCTCCCTACCGCAAGGCACATTAGTAAACGAGTAAAATGTTGTAGGATTGTGTAGGATAGAGTGTAGTAGAACATCTTTAATTTTAAAAACCCACACTTAAATAGCATAAATAACACTTCATCACACCAACTCCACTATACACACAAAACCCGTTCAAACCTTAACATGAATACCAATCGCCCGGCCATACACAACCACGCTATACATACGCCGGACAACACTCAACATACCAAGTAGAATTCAAATATATATATATATATATATATATATATATATATATATATATATATATATATATATATATATATATATATATATATATATATATATATATATATAAGCCCACTGAATAGTACCCGAACATTTTGAAGCTTGGAAGTCAGAGGGAAAGATATTGTGAGAGAGCAACAGAGTAATAGTCAGAGGATGTGCGAATTAAAAAAAATAATGAAGAGATAGTAAGAGAGCTACAGAGTATGAAAGCAGATGAGTAAAACCGTACAAGAGAAATAGATAGTAAGGGTTAAAAAAAGGTAAGAATGAGGCTGCGAGAGTAAATCAGTAAGAAAAAGGTAAGAATGTGAGCACGAGTGTACAAGAAAGGATAATGCCTGTTTGGATGTACTCACAACAGCAGAATCCCCAGCTTTGGCCAGGAAGACAGGGGGATATTTGGAGCCACCACCCTCAGAGATTGTGATAGTTGTGGAGTCCTCTGATGAGATGACCATGTTGAAACCCTGCACCATCCGGGTAACCACTAGCGTAATAAACTCCTTGCCATAGGATACCACGGGGGTCAACATCTCTGGATTTAGGTTGAATAAAAAATTTAATTGCGGTAAAAAAAATAAGATCTTTATTTTTTAATAAACATAACATAATGTTGTCAGCGTTGTTTTGACATTGTTTTGATTAATTTTTTGATCACCGTTGGATAAATATGCATTGATTTGATTTGTAGAGCCTGTGTTTTGTGGTGCTCATTTCATAAAAGAATGAGGTACAGTCCGAGTGGAAAAATTTTAAAAAACCAAGTGTAGCCGCTTTTTGTTTCCTCTCCATTGTTTAGGCGACAAGAGGTAAAGCGATTTTTTTTTTCAATAAAGAAAATCAGATTCATCTTTTTAAAAACTGAGATAAAAAGTTAATTTTTTTATGAAAAAAAAACATTTTCTAATTTCTTATCTTGAACCGCTTGATCAAAAACACTAAGTACAATTCCGCATTATTGGATTGACCAAGATTAGGTTAACAAACAAAAATAAATAAATAAACCGGGAGTGATCTCCCCTAAACTTTCTCGAATATTCTTATATGAAACAACAGGGGATGGCAACCCGGGATATAGACATGATTTTTAATCCGTGGTAAATATTTAAACTTTTTAAAATAGTATAAAATCTCGTATAAAAAAGAATTGCACGCCAAGAGAACGCCAAATAAATGTGCATAATAGTGCGGAATTTTATTAGTAGTTTATAAAATCACATGCGTTTTTTTGAGAAATCGGAAATAGCGAAAATTACTACTTCCTGTCATCATAAATTACTCAAAATTTGACAGAAGGCGGATATTTTACTTACATGTGAAATTTCATTTATCTATCTGAAATAGTACTCAAGTAATAGGCTTTCGAAAAATTGAAAGTAGAACAAGTTCCACTTTCGGTTATCGGAAATCGCTCAAAAATTGATACGGATCTACAATTTTGATATAATACTTATGTATGAAATTTTATTAACCTAGCTGTAACCACACACACACACACACAGACACACGGACAGAATTGGATAATCCAGTTTTTCCTACTCCATTACGCATAAAACGCCAAAATTTTGATAAATCTGGATTCATAATTTTTGCCCGGTTAAAATAAGTCTTCTATATCCCGGATGTTATGAAGGACTGAGGAGTAAAACGCTGAAAACTGTCAAAAGTTCATTTGATCTGTACACGAGAAAGTAATTATACCTAGGTACAAATCTCTGGCACCATATTCCCAAGTATGGGGTAACATATGTTCACAACTGAGGATGCTGGTTTTGGCCAGGCAGTCGCCACTGATCAAACCTATCGACTTTACTCCTTCAACTGTTGTCCCTGTATTTTCAAAAGTGTTAAAAACATAGTTGTTAAATGGCATGGATAGAAAGTAAGTATGTGTAGGTTATTTCCTATATTTTATCAAGCAAATTTTAAGCCCACGAACTTTAGCTTGTGAGTTGTATTATATATATATATATATATATATATATATATATATATATATATATATATATATATATATATATATATATATATATATATATATATATATAATTCTCTTCTTGGATACCATAGAAAACACCAAGCTGTAAGCGCGCTAGCAGCCCCCTCTCTTCCTCTCTAGGCATATCCCTACCACTCCACCCCCACATGGTCTGGTGAGCTGTGGTTCACGCTAAATGTTTACAATCGTAGAGCCGGGTTTAGTGACGGATATTAGGGGCGGATAATTTAGCTTGAAACTATTTGAAAGCAAGGGGAGATAATAAGCTATGCTTGATATTTTCATTGTCGTCTGTAAACGGCTGCTTTCATGGGGTGGGGTAGGGCGGGGTGGAGTGGGGGTGGGGGAGGCAGGGGGTGGGGTAGTGTCGAATTCATAAATTATAAGTAGAAAATAAAACAAATAGATACCGGCGTATGCTACGTCGCGGGTCAGCTCGTTTCATATATTTTATCAAGCAAAAGCTTTTTATGATCAAATTTTTTTTTTTAAATGTAGTTATTACCAATATTTTATGAAAGCAATTGTTTTAGTTTATGATGTGTAGGCAATTTACTATATTTAATCATTGAAAACTATAAGGAACACACATATATTAGTTTATAATATGTGGTCTATTTCCTAAAATTTTACTAATCAAAACGCTTTAAAAACAAATATTTTAATTTATAATATGTTCTTCTAAATTCCTATATTTTATTATATTTTATAAACACAAATACATTTTTACAAACGGGTTCTTTTCATAAATTTTATCAAGCAAAATTTTTTTTATAAATACAAATATTTTACCATAAGTAACGCAATTTACACTCAATAGTTTATCACGTAAATACAAATGTTTACAACCTGTTAGGGTTCTGTCGTCTCGGCAATATTCACAGCAAAATGCCATGCCGAAGGCTTCAAATCTTGAGAGAAACAACAATGATTAACTTAAATATTATTTTTTTTTACAACTTCCGACATCTCCCAACCTAAACAATTACAAAATTCAACATTTTTTTATAATAATAAAGGATTTTATAGTGCGTACTTGACACATACACTGAGATGGTTATTTTGAAAAGAAAAGAATAAATAGTTCAGATATGAACGTTAAACATTAGACTTATTGAGTTGTAACAAAAAAAAGCGTAAACTAATATGCATACTTTTTTTTTTAAAAATAACTCTCAACATGCTAGTATTATAAAATGTAGAACCTAGAATATGCGTATTTTAAAGTATTTCTTAATATGCTTTTATTACACGTTGTAAGGTAGTAAAAGTAAAATACCCCTTCGAACCTTACGGCCCATGGGACAGGTGAAGTAGAATTCACCTGTTTCAACGACCTCGGCAAATGAGTGGCTTAACGTAAGTCAGGTACCCAACAGAGCTGAGCGGACTCAAGCGTCTTACGGACTCGAACCCGGGATCCGAACTCGAAAATTCTGGGTTACCAAAGCAGAAAAATGTACTTACTTTTTTAAAGTAACTCGTAATGTACTACCACTAAAATAAGTTACATCCACGTAAGTAAAATTGAAGCCAGTCATTTTTAGTTTGATTGTAATTTCATTTTCTTCTGTAGTTAAAACTTGAAAAGTTGGATTTTGCCTGAAGATATCATGTACACAAAATATACACAAATACATTTAAATAACACATTTTTTGCTTTCTCGTATACGAAGTATAGAGGAAGTATTGTAATCGAATAAAACAATTGAAATCATTTTTTTAATAAATATAGACGCCGCACACCTCTCTGGGTCGAAAACACGTACTTTCGCGATTTAGTCTGTACGTATGTATGTTAGTTTGTGTGTCTGTCCGTCTACAACACAAGAACTGGAGTACCCATTCAGTTAAGTTGAAGAAATTTCACATATAAGTTTTTAAAAAATGCGTAATTCTCATTCAACTTTTGAGCCATTTCCGGTAACCGGAAGTGGTACTAACTCTGGTTTCGTTTTTCTCAAAGTCAATAACTTGAGCACGAAATGATGGACGAAATTTCCTATACAATTTTCACATTGTATGTGCAAGTTTATGTAATAATTGTAACGATTTCTAGTGGTTCTTTACTTTAATTCCGAGGTAACACGATAACTTAGGTAAAAAAAATCGTATATATAATTTTTTTTTAAAATAATGTTTCGCCTTTACTTTCCCTAGCGTGAGTTAGGTACCCATCAGAGCTTGGTGAACTCGAGACTTTCTGTCTAGCACTCTTCAAACCAATCCTATATAAGATCATGCTTGGGTCACTTTCAACTTCAGAGTGACCTACGATATACGAAAGTGGTATTTTCTATATTTCTGGTTTCTAAAATACCTATAACACAAGTACTATTTCAGGTAATAATCGCACAAAATTTGATAAAATAAGTACATATATTAGATCATATTTACTGGTTTCTGTCAAAATAGAGTGACCTGAAATAGTATTTTATGATATTTCCAAAGTGCTTCATTTGAAACAGAGTTGAATCGATTTGAAAATATGGTTTACACAGCATTTAATGTAATGAATAGATACTCATTTAATTATATTCTTTTAATTATAACCAATGCTAACAATATATTTCCTTACCATGAGGCGACTACAATGTACTTCTTAGCCCAGCCTTCTACGGGAAGCCCAATAAAAGAGTCTGCGATAAAATGCGTGACA